CAATAATACAGAAGGGAAGAACTAACTTAGCTGGAAGCTGACACGAATTTTCTAGACCAGTGGTTCTCAAACTTTTTTATTCTTTACCACCTGAGAAAACATTGATCTCTCTGAGTGCCACCATGATGACCAACATTAGAAAACAGCAGTGAGGCCTTCACTGTTAGCCTCCACCACAGGAGAGAGGTTTATTCATTATGTTATATTCATTGTGAATGTATGTTTCAGATTTATTCAATTGAAAATGTAAATGTGAAAATATGAATTTTCCCCACCTACCACTAGAGAGCACTCACGTACCACTGGTGGTACATGTACCACAGTTTGAGAACCACTGGTCTAGACCATACATTTTTCTTATTATCATTTTCACCACTCACAGTATTTGACTTTTTCTTATTTAAGAGAGACTGCATCTGTGTGTGAACTTCAGGGTCCAACTGGTTATTTGTATTGTTTTTCTCCACAGAAATGTGGAGCCGGGGAACTAGCCCGGTAGCCGCTGTGCGCCTATGCTGATGAGGAAATCGATGCAGCGATGTGGAGGCCGTCCGCCTGTGGGTGACACAATTATGGCTTGACGGTCACTTGTGCCTCATCATCCTGGCTCTTCCCTCAGGGGAAAACAGTGACGGCTTCACGAGACCAGTGATCAGAAATGTAAGTCACTATCGGGGCCAACGTTTGGTCAGTTTATATTTGACCTTTAGATGCAGTACAGTACGGTACAGTACAGTACGGTACAGTACAGCAGTATTACAACACATGAATTGAGGGTTTTGACTCAGTCTGTTTTTAAGGCATTTGTTATTATTTTATGAAGATTTGCTGACATTAAAGATTTCTAACTCACTCCGAAGCCAAACAGAGAATTCAATAATGGGTGTCTGAGACCTGGGCAAAGTGTAAAGTGGCAACATCCGCTGATGAAGATGACAACGTCCCTGAGAGTGAAGTGAAGCATTAAAACACAGACTGGAAGAAAACAGGTTGGTGCTGAATCCTGATATCTTTCCTATGCTTTGAGCATTTTTTTTTTTTTTTTTTTTTTTTTTACAGCATACAATAGGTTTGTGAGCAGTGCTGTAAGGAGCTAGGCGAAGAGTGGGGATGCTTATTATAGCCCTAGTAACAGGGAGGGGATTGGTGAGTGCAAAGCGTGAGCCTGCCGTGATTGGCTGTTAGGACGGCTGTTGGAAACACTGAATTTCATTTTCAGCGAGGTTCAGTGCAGCAGGCTGCAGCAGCAGCAGCAACAGCAGCAACAGCAGCAGCAGCAGAGAGGCTGCAGTCTGAGGGTGGACCATCCAGGAGCAGGAGTAACGTACTGGACCAGTGGTTATCAACCAGAAACATGTTTGCTTTTTTTAAAGATTGACACCGTTTAAACACGACTGTTTCCCACAGCAGTTGCCCCAAAAAATAAAAATAAAATAAAATTGATACTTGTATTGTACAGGACTTTCCTTCTGCTCACTCATCAAATGTCCCTTGACTACAGTCTGATGAAATGAATAATCAGCCAACAGCCTGGTGGAGAGACATACCTCTGTTGTTGTGAGTTAGCACCGTCCATCTCTGCACTGCAGCTAACAGACTCCATCACATATGTTCACCCACATGCAGCCCCCTCACGCAGCACTCCACACTCCACAGATCACTGCAGGTTCAGGAAAGAGAATGGGATGAGGTAAAAAAAGGATGTCCTAAAAATTCCTGACATTGTCCTTGAAAAAAAAACATCATGATGTGGCGTTCAATGACTCGGTACGATTTGGAGATGACGTGACAGAACCTGAAAAGTAGATGTTTGATCACCTGATCTTGGCCACAACTTTTTCCAGGTTCACTGGTTACTTTTCCAAAAAATCAAAATGTGCCAGATTAGATTAGCTAGAGTTTTCTACACAGACTCTCTAAGTGATGAATGTTTCTACCACAGTGATTACCAAAAAAAAAAAAAAAAAAAAAAATCATGCCCTCTAAAACTGTGCTTTTCTGAGTGTCCAGTCCTCAAGGTGTTTGTCCAGAAATATTCTGGCCCTCTGACAAATACAGTTAAGACCCCTGTGTGGCCCTGACCCTGGGGTAGAGCCTAGAGCAGGGTCAGGAGATGGCAAACAGAGTACTGTACTGGTCTCATGATCATAATATACAAATATAATGCCATACTGTGTCATACTGACTATATATCGTAAGAATGGAGCAGTACTCATTCAAAAAACTCGAACAAAACTCACTGCGTAACAGGAACTGGGAAGGAAAGAAAGAAGGCAGGAACAGAACACAACAGCAGCCACAATGACCAACGATCAGACCAGGACTGAGTGAGGTAGAGAGGTATACACACACAGGGCACCAGGTGACACCAGTGAGACTGATGACACACACAGGTGAGGGTGATGACACTGATTAACACAGACAGGAGGGAGGGGGACACAGACGGACCTCCCATGTTGTGTGGAAAAGCTAATATTGAATTGAAACGTACCAGTTAGACCACAGTACATATGGTACTGGGTTAATATAAAACGTATCTTTATTCAGTAAATATAGTGGTGTGGAGTATTTGTCTTCAAGAACACTTCCTGTAAGGTGTGTAAATGATGATGCAGATCGACTGTGTGTTGGAGCCATGATGAAGGGGAATTACTGGATGGGATTCATTTTATGAATTATATGTAATGTGTTATTAACATGAGGAAATATATTTGTATATATTTATATTTTTTTCCTCCTAAAAGCTCATTTAGCATTTAGCTCTTACACAGTGACAGAACAGTTCATGCTGTTACTTTTTAATAACAAAATCCCCATTTGCAGTTCTGGCATTTTGCAGGTTCTCCCTGGACAAGTGAGGGTTTTTCTTTTCCCCCCCCCCCCCCTTCACTTCTTACCATAAAAAGGATGTTGGTGTAGCCTGTGGCCTACTGGTACGAGGATCTGGAATGTTGCCGTAGGATCGCATGTTTGAATTCCATCCTGGCTGTGATGTGTTCAGGAGCCACAGCTGCTCCAGGGAAGGGTTCATGACCAATAAAGCTGGTTCAGATGAAGTCATGAACATTGGTAATTCAATGAATGAACACATCATTTTAAATTAGTAAATACGTATGTAAATATGGAGTATTATATCATTAGGAATTAGTTACCTAAATGAACTAAGTAGCAACTAAAATTATATAAAAAATGTTTTGTTATTATATACAGTATATATATATTTATTATTATTATTATTATTATTTTATATAAACTGCGGCAGATGAAAAGTCCACAGGTCATTGGTCCAAATGATACGTTCACCTGTGGAGGAATTGAGAATGTTAGGACGGAGGTTGGTTAGTTTTGGGAAACCAACTCAAACAATGGGTGGAATGGATGGACACAATGATGAGTTCAGGGGAACAGCTGAGGCCAAACTGTTCTCAGAAACAGTTAGTGACGCAGGATCTTTTTTTTTTTTTATAGTAGAGGTTATTTCAGGACGAACGGCGCAGGGACACTACCGTCTGTTCTTTTGAATTTTATTTCTCTCTTCAGTGTGAGTGAATATTCGAGGGACAAAATGTGCAAAAGTCATTACAATAGAATAACATTCGTAATGATTACATGATTATGTCATATTTCCCAAAATAATGGAGTGTTAGGAGTGACAACGAGCTCTTCCACTATAGTGAGAGTGTACAAGACACACTGCTGTTTGTATATGGTAAGTATCACTAAGTGTAGAGTTGCCATGGTAACACTTTTAGTGTTAGTTTAGCTAGAACACTGACTTTGATCCTGGTGTCCTGCTGACACGTTAGCAGACGTTATTAAATCTTTGAAAGCTAAATAACAGACGTATAACTAGGAGTTAGTGTACGATGAAACAGCAGGGGGCGTCATTTTTTTATATTTGTGTTATCAATTACAGCACAATAGTCCGGTCAGGCCTCAATTTACTTTTTAAATTAAAATTAATATAAATTAAATTCAGAAAAGTAAAATGTATAAATTGCCAAATTAGGTTTTTATGTGATTTCTGTGTTTAAATCAAAATAATTCACACTTATTTTGCATTTTTAGCAAAATGATTGTGCTCATTTTAACTTCTAATATGCATATATATATATATATACATATATAAATACACATATATATGCACATACACTGTATATATACATATGTGTGTATATATACTGTATGTATGATTCATGACACATTCATTTTTATATGTTGGGTTACCCTACATAAATTTGTTCAAATAATATAAGATTCAGTAAAAAAAAGTTCCTCAGTCGGGAGTATGTGGTTAAATTAGCTTCATTTATATATTTCACGACGTTTATAACTAATCGGTCGCATTAATATAAAAGCAGCCGATCAGGTTAACGCCACCTGAGGCTGTACTGTGCAGTGCACTGTGCCAACCACTGTCAGGTGATTTCATTAGGGGAAGTGATTGGCCCGTGGCTCGGCTAAAGAAGGCGGAGCTTCATGGTAACCTCTGCTCCGACCTCATCCCTTTTCCGGTCGTGGAACTCAGCATTCGCTGCATTCTCTCTCCTCAATGTTGAAAGACGGACTAAGCCAAACTGCACAGCGTCATCTGCATATGTATTTTAACTGTTACAGTCTCATAAATTAAATAAAGGTGCAGTACACTACGGCACGCAAGGGCACAAAAAAACAAGAATGGAATTAAGTCTTTTAGCAGTGTATTTTTTTAGTTGCAATTTAGTTCAGTTGCAGTTGACGATACAACAATACACTGGACCACCACGGAAATGGCGCTTGAATAATTTAGTCATGTTCTTTTTTATTATCATAACTATTATTTCGGTTCGTGTGCAACTGCTACATAATGACTCACATTCAAGATTTTTTTTTGTCACTCAGGAACAGCTAATAATGTATAAAAGAAAAACAACAAACCAACAAAAAAAAAAATTGTTTCACTGTCAAAAATAAAAAATAAATAAAATATGGTCCATGTGGTTTGTGAACATAACAGAAACACTGAGCCTGGACAGAAAAATTAATATTGAAAATGGATTAGCATGACAGGAAGTTCAAAATGAAATATGGATCAAATAACAAAATATATCATAATCATACTTCATTGTGACAAACACCAGCTGATAAGATTAAGTGATCACTGGTGGCTTTTTATTTCTTTTTTTCCTTTCTTTAACAAATTAAATACACATATTGCATGTCACTATATAGCAACGCCCATTACAGGTCAATTTTTACGATCACTATTTTGGTATAGCAAATCAAAAAAAAAATTATAATAATAATAATTGTAACAAAATTAAATAAGTTAAAAATTAAAAATCAACATCAGACAAAGCCTGTTTTTTCTTCAATCATATGAATACTTAACACCCACAGTATAAGTTAATAAAGTCAAGCTACTGTATATAAATACATCACCAGCATGCACAATATTGAATATTATTGTTGTCATCATCTTACACTGAATAAACTGTAGATTAGGCAAGTGCATTTAATAAAACAAACACAGAAGTAAACCACAAACTCTGAAGCTGCTTTTATGTTATTTTCTCTTTTTTGTCTTTTTTTTTTTAAGTTTTTAATTGTTAAGTCTCTCTGCCTTTTCGTGATCATCATTCACTTTCGAGAAAAATCTATGGTTCCAGTGACGAAACAAGACCAATTTGTGGGATGTTGCATACAGTTGTGCAGAAGAAAGGGGAGTAGGAGGGGAAAAATCCTAATTTTACCAATGCATGTTTTTACTCTGGGTATTTTCCTTCAAAGTTTGGATTTTTTTTTTGTTGGGTTTTTTTTCTTCCATCTTTTAAATTGTCATTATTCTAACGTCATTCTACTGCTGGAACCAATGCAATCTACTGTTGTGAGGCATTACCATTCAAACATTTCTTCTCGCCTTTCTCCTCAAGCGACTCAAATGCATCTCTTTCACGCAAAATAAAAACCATTAACTAAGCAGCTTATCTTGACGGGACAAGACCAGTTCCTATATGCCAGTGTGAGGCCGCCATTTAATCCAACATCAACAAGAACCACCACTACCTCCACTTCAGGCTGATTGACTGACATATCAGTGGTTTTGGCAAATGTCAAAGAGAAAATCAAGAAGACGGAGGCCCCTTTCGACTGTATATATATTTCTATATATATATTAAAACTAAGATTTAACCTCCACGCTCACCTTTCTTTCAATTCTTTTCTTTTAACTCATGGAAAAATAAAGAACTGCTGCTGCGGTAGCATCATCGGCAAAAGCTGCTGCCAAAGTCCACCGGCCCATCTTAATTAATTTTTTTAAATTTTTTCGTTGAAGTGTGGATTTCCACTTTTAATTGTTACCCTCCCCGCCCTCGTCGTCCTGCTGGTCACTTGTCCACAGTGTCAAGTTGTCTCGGAGCAGCTGCATGATGAGCGTGGAGTCTTTGTAGGAGTCCTCGTTCAGGGTGTCCAGCTCAGCGATGGCGTCGTCGAAGGCGGTCTTGGCCAGATGGCAGGCCTGTTCAGGGGCGTTCTGGATCTCATAGTAAAACACAGAGTAGTTAAGAGCCAGGCCCAGGCGGATGGGGTGAGTGGGCTGCATGTGCTCCTTGCTGATCTCATGGGCTTCATTGTACGCCTTCTCTGACGACTCCACCACCGTGGCCCTCTTCTCGCCTGTAGCCACCTCGGCCAGGTACCTGTAATAGTCACCCTTCATCTTCAGGTAGAAGACCTTGCTCTCGTGCTGCGTTTCGCTGCAGTTTTTGATGAGGAAGTTGTCCAGGAGGTTGAGCACGTCCTGGCACACGGCCTCCAGCTCCTTTTCGATCTTCTCTCGGTAGGCTCTCACCATCTCGATCTTCTTCTCATTGCCATCGGCAGAGGTCTTCTGCTCAATGCTGGAGATCACCCTCCAGGAGGAGCGGCGAGCGCCCACTACATTCTTGTAGGCCACAGACAGGAGATTTCTCTCCTCGTTAGACAGGGCCTCGTTCAGCTCCGTCACCTGCAACAAAGGGAGGGACAAGAAAATGTTGCAGAAATTTATCTGGAATCAAACGTCAATCCCTGGAACGGGACCAGAGGTTGCAGCAAACCAACCAGCAGAAAATCACAAACTAACAAACCCCCACCATCTGTCAGAAGAAATCCATTCTGACATTTGATTCAAAATAATTTCTCTGGAGGAAAAAACATTATTGGGAGAGTATTCATAATAAGTAGGTGAAGAAAAACAATTTAGATTCAATAAAAACTATCACAGAAATATTTCAAAATCAGTGTCAACAAGACAATGTTAAAATAGTCGGTAAATTATTATTATTATTATTATTATTATTATTATTATTATTATTATTATAAGCTGTAGCACTAACTGTTTCTGGAGACTGTCTCAATGAAAAAGTAAGAGTGCAGTCTGTGGTTGGAGTGAGAGCTGAGCTAAGCAATATTTCACTATACCACTGCTGTGGTACAAAATCTCAGTTTCCATGGCAATCCATTCATTTGGTGCAGTAGCAGCAGCAGCAGCAGCAGCAGCAGCAGCAGCTCTGGCTGTCACATGGACACCTAATGCTTGTTAGTGAGAAATCATATTGGAGCAAGTCGTCGGCAGCAGCAGCAGCAGGAGTGTGAGGGTGTGATTGTGTGTGTGGGGGTAAGTGATGGGGGCAGGGACGAGGAGGAGGAGGAGGAGGAGGAGGGTGAGGGTGGCAGGAGGGATGGAGGTGGCTCAATGTTACCATCAGTGCACAGGCAGTTCACGTGTCCCAGTGACCTTCTCTGGGGCTCACGCTGACCTTTTTACCTGCCAGATAAATACTGTATCATGACATCATTGTAGAGTTTGATTGTTAAGTTCATGTCTGTGACAGGTGTGTGCAGCTGAGGGGAGGAGGGGGCTTCACTCGTGTTGAATACTGCGCTGCACTGTACATTCTGTGAAATTCCGCTAAATCTCCGAGACCATAAAAGCTAATTGTCATATCGATCTTGTTTTTTTCTTCTTTGCACCGACGTTGGCTGATAGGCAGTGGAGCACAAAGATGGCGGAGCGCCGCTTACGTCAAACACAGAGCTGAGTGGAGGGAGAAGAGGACAGCTTAACCTACAGAGGATGAAGGTCCTGATCTGCCTTTCATTACAATAAAACCAACAATTACATGCAAACGGGCCTCGCGTATTAATATTTATAACCAATTTTCATTTCATTTGAATTTTAAACATTTTCAGAATACAAAATCTAAATTGCAAAAAATATATACTAACCCATTTGATCTAATTATCAGACGAAACAACTACATCATTATTTTTTTCAGAAAGCACATAATCAGGTTATATGATGTCATATATTACCCTGATGGTAAACTACAGATTTAAATGTTAATAAATACAAATAATTGATGCCATTTTAGTTTGGTATTCCAGGCTGACAGTAAGGGATTCCCTTTGATAAGAGGAGAAGAGTTCACACCCTTTCTAAAAAACCGGGGCCCATTTTGGACAGCACTGACATGGCAGATTGTTTAAAGGGAAAGGAATCCCTGAATGCTCCACACACAGTCATCATCCCCACCTCCTGCAACCAGAAACCCCCCGATGACAAACGACCTCAGGTGGCTCTCTCTCTCTCTCTCTCTCTCTCCCCACATCTCTACTGAAGAACACCACACAAAGTGTTCATCTTTTTTTTTTAACATCAACAGTGAGGGTCATCTCCACATCATCTTACGGAGGGGCCCACCAGTGACGACTCCCGTCGTAATGACTTCGTTACGCAGAGTGTGACACAGCAGGTTTTTTTTAAACCACTTCCCAGAATTTCTTACAGGGACAGAGGAGGGGAGGGAGGTGTGTGTGTGTGTGTGGGGGGGGGGAGTGAAAATCAGACAAAGCCTCAGCAGTGACCACAGAGGGTTGGTTCAACTCTCCTGTGAGGCAGGCTAGGCCACCCTGCACTTGCAGTCAATACAACAACTCCCATCAGAGTGGTGAAGCCACTAGGCCTTACGTGACCGCAGGGAATCGGCACAAAGACGTGGAAAAGGTATGAAGACGACGGGGGAAAACCACACACACCTGTGAGAGATGGAAATCATGTAGAAAATAAATGGAAAAAAGAGAAACAAGGGGGAGAAAACGAGAGCTATTGGTATCAGACTGTGTGCTGACCCTCTGCAATATGACAAAGAATATTCTAGAGAGAAGTGCTATGCCTCCTCCTCCTCTTCCTCCTCCGCCATCTCATTTGGAGGATTTTTTGAGCAGTTAGGCTGAACATGTCTACATGAATGGTGATAAAAATATGAACGAATGTTGGATAATGTTTGTCATTTAACTGACAATGAGGTGAAAGAGGCGTTTGAGGGCAGTCGGGATTTTTTAATTTTTTTTAAGAAGCCTAAATGACATGACTTCCAAAAGCTTTTACAAAATCCAGTATTAGGGTGGAAAGAAGAGAAGGGTGGAGCTGGGCAGAGAGGTGACATAAGAGGGTAGTCTGGGGGTGAGAGGGGTGCGGTTGGGAGGCAGCGTGTACAATAGAGTGAGGCCATTACATGGTAAGATCTAGAATGTTCAAGCTCGGGCCTTCTTTATGCGTTTTAATGTAACAGCGGAAAGACAAGGCACCGCCCAAAGGCACAGGAGACGATGTGGAGTCAATGAAAAAAGTAGGTTAAAAAAAAAACAATTTAAAAAATGACATAAATGAAAGGACACGTAGCTTTAACCCCAACAATGAGGAAAGGTGTGATTTCTTTTCGACTACGATGTCTCCACAGCTGCATTATCTCCAGCGCCTCCTCCTACATTTATTGCAGGAGATTTTCACTGCGTGCTCAGCTCCTTTACACAAAGAAAGACGCAGCTCCACACACACTTCCACACACACGCGTGTCAAAACGACCATATCCATTCACTTACCGATTTCATCGCCGCTGCCATATCATCATATCTCTCAGCCTGCTCAGCCAGCCTGGCTTTCTGCACCAGCTGCTCGCGGTCGACCATGTTGGGGTTTTATGTGGTTTTTTGGTTGGGGTGTTTGATTTGCGTCGCTCGAGCTGCCGGTGAGTGCGTTTTTTGGAAGGTAGATGAAAATGGTCGGTCGTTTCAATCGCAATGCAGTGAAATCCTAGGCGAGCCAAACGCTGCAGCTGTTCCCTGCTGTCTGTCTCCTGCTACGCGCAGACGGGACACCCCTCCTCTCCTCCTTCCCTTACTTTGCTCCCTCCCTCCTCACACACTCTCACTCGGCTGCGTCATCTCTCAGAAAGGAGGGTGTCTGTGCCAGTGATGTAACTCCATACATGGGAAATAGAGGGACAGGCGAACGAGGATGGATGGAAGTACGGACGGACAGAATGGGAGCATTCACTGACCCGGTGTTGCTCGGTGTACTCCAGTGATGAAGGAGTTAGAGTCAAGAACCCCGCAGGACAAAAGTCCACATCTTTCTGTCCATTTCAGGACACAACTGTATATGTCCAGATTTATGACGACGGGGTCATGAGCCTAACAAACTGAAGAGGTTCCTGGACTAAGAGGTCAAGAGGTCTTTCACGAAACGACAACCTAGACTGGATGCCTTTGGACGGAAATGTTGAAGATATTTTGGCAGCTATTAGAGATTTATACAGCTTTAACTTAGTTTGTCTCACTTTCACTATGCTCTTTCCAAAGTAGACCTGAAAACAAAAAAAAATTATGAAAATATCAGAGCTATTTTTCAGTTAGGTGTGGAACACACCCAGGCAAACTACGGCCCACGGGCCAGATATGGCCCACTAGACTGTCTAATTCGGCCCTCCAAACACTGATACAAGGTACGGTAAAGACTGATGTCAATCCTTCTGTTTCATGCATTACAACAAATCAACTGTCATTTCTGTTGATTACTACTGAACTGGTCCACCAGTCAAATCTTGAACCTCATTAAATCAAGCACTTTGAACAGAAAGAATTTGTCCTGTTTTTTTTTTCCCCTTCTTCTCCACAATAGGATTAGAAGATTCAAATCTAAGTTCTAGTCAAAATGCTCAAGAGTTCTAATCAGGAGTTTAGTTGAAAGTTTTAGTTTAGAGTTCAGTCTAATGTTGGTATTAGACAAGTCATTGTTTACTGGCTAAAAAAAAAAAAGTTATGACGCCCACTGTCCTGATGGCTCCGTTCAACTCATTCTTAGAAATTAGCTGGATGACTCAACATCAATTAAATTTGCAAGTGTTCCAGAGCTGGACTTCTTCCCTGGTAATAAAGCTGGACTTGGACCCTGAAGTTCAATACTTTTAAAGAAACATGGAACCATTTTAAATCCTCTGAGAATTTTCAAATAAACTTTTTTTTCTTACTTTTAAACACAACCCTTTATCAGTCACACAATCATCTCCTAAAAATAGATGAGCATAAAAACATATTTTATGGTCAAAAGCTTCAGGTACTTTACATTACAAATATAGCCTGTTATAAAACTGTTTCATGTTATTTTCTGTCTTGAATAAATTAACTGTCGTTCACGCCAGATATAAATAGGCAATCATACATATTTTACAGTAGATGTATATAAATATATTTTACATTCCCGATGATGAATTAGGAGTTAATGTTCCAACACTTCACAGTCTATCCATAAATATAGAGTTTGTGCTGGATCAACATGTTACAGCTGGTGTTATAGCTGGACGCTGCAGCAGCAGGGACACACAGCTGATCACAGGTGATGTGTTTTGGTGGACGTTTCTCAAGTGGTGGCAACTGGCTGGTTACTTCATCTGTCTAGGGATCAGGGCATGTGGGGAGGAGTCTGGTGGGTGGACCGCAGGTGGGCCGTCCACAGGGAGGTTCATCTCCTCATCAGGCAGGTTTACAGCTAGTATGAAGTGCTCTAGCAGCTGGTCTGCTGGTTTGGTGATGCTGTGTTGTCATGACAACAAGAACATCAAATTTGGTCAGTTGTGGCTCTACTGGTCCAAAGCTTGTTTCAGGTTGTGTTGTCTGTCACTCACGTAGATCAGACAGAAGCCTGAGCTGCCAGTGTGACTCAGATTTCACATCTATATTCCCAGTTCCACTAAAAACCCTTTTCTTTGATAAAGCTAATCTGCTAGTCCTGTCTGACAAGACGAGGGGTGTATCATTTTTATTTTGTGAAACACATATCCTCTCGCTGTAATTTGTCTTTCTGTTCCAACAATATCCTGCCTCGGTTTTCTCATATTTAGGAATGTTGATTTATCTGGATTAATCTAGATTAACAGCCTCACCGTGAATAACCAGATTAAAAAATGTGATACCTTTATTATCACGTTCCTGGCGACCCACGCGCTCCTTCCAGTCGTAACGCTGCCATCTAGTGTTTAAATACTGCTATTACAGTATGATGTGGTTTAAACAGAACTGCAGCAATTTTATGTACATAAATCAGCAGTTCCCAAACTTTATAGCCGCGCACCTCTTCTTTATCCCAACCGTGCTGACGCAGCCCCGATTCCCTGCACCTTCGAGAAAAATCTCAACAAGCTTTCTTATTAAAGCAGCATGTTTAAATGACCAGAACATACAACACACAAATATTTAGCCTCCATTAATTTATTTATTAAAATATCGGCCTTTGAGTTTAAATTTTACAAAGGAAATGTTTATTTACACGTCTTTATTTGGTGGAAAATCTCGCGCACCCCTAGTGGCAGCTCGGCACCAGACCTTGGTAATCCCTGACATAATTAGCTTTTTCTGTATTTACAACACCAATACAATAAAAAACAACACTGTGCAAGTGACACCACTACACTGTTTGTGCATGAAGCAGATTCGTGAAAGTAAAATCATTATTTTTATGTGCTTTAATGTATTTCAATAAGTAGCCAGTGATTTTTTTTTCATTAAACACAGCGGGTTTGTGTGGTACACGAAAAAGCAGACGTGGATTTGAACTTGCAATACTGAATGGGTTAAAGAACAACCAGTCACCACAAGAGGGCACTCATACAAAGGCTGAGTGATTTTTTAAAGAATATGTAAGAGCAGTAACATTGATGCCACACATGAAGCAAGAGTAAGAAAAACCTTTTTCGGGGAGTTCAGTCTGAGCACTCTGTAAATGTGTCCACCTCGTGCAGGTCCTCCAGCTCACCATCCCTGCTCCCGTCATTGCTGGTCTTCCTGTGGAAACACAGGCTCCATCATGTTATGGTAAATTGGTGTGAAACTGTGCCATGAAATATATTTCCCAGACAAAATGGTAAATGGCTTATTATTATATTCTACCCTTATAGAGGACACAGTAAGACGGACAACTATTCAGAACACTTGTTGAAAGCGTGTGTGTGTGTGTGTGTGTGTGTGTGTGTTATTTTAGGCAAAGCTCACTGTTCAGAGCTTTGTGATTTCCTTGTCTCTCTTAAATCCTCTTACAGGTTGAGTAAACAACTAATGAGCTGTTCTGGACGTGGGGAACATGAGCTGAACTTGTGGCAAATGCTGAAACATGGACAACAACAACAACAACATATTTATTACCGTAAAGAAGGATGAAGTAGAGGTGAAGACCTCAATGAGCCCCAAGAACCGCTGTAAAAAAGAGAATATAAGTAAAAATAAATTATATATATTTATATACTTATAAAGTTAAGTATTTAGTAGTGACGTGTGGAGACACTGATTCATGTCACATGTGGAAGGCTTTTCCTCTTATCATTTGCTTTCACTGAGCATGTCAAAAAATTAGACTAAAAATTAAGACTAGTGAGGTAAGAAAATATAGAAAAGAAATAAACAAAAATAACAAAAAAATATGTAAAAAAAAAAGGTTTGGCAAAATGCCAGCATGACGTTACACAAAAAGATTCATAGAAATAGAAATCAATAAATACATGTCGGGAATGCAACAAAAATTGAAATATTTTCAACCAGCACACTGTGTTTTGTTAGGTCTGGGATAGATTTTTTTTAAATCAATAGAGTTTTGGCGACTGACTGTTTTACTCTACTCACAGTAGAAGACCTCCAGGTGCAGACATGGACCGTTTTACTCTACTCACAGAAGAAGACCTCCAGGTGCAGACATGGACCTCTCTGCCCTTCTACCAGTCAGACACTCAAAGGGGTTACTGAAGGACCTCTTCCTCAGCATTGACTTGACCAGGATCTGTGTGAACATCAGAAGGTTTTCTATTCACCAACTAACATCATTACCAAATGTATCTCTTTAGGAAGTACAATTTAGAGCTCTAACAGACTTACCACAGCAGAGAGTCTGGGTATAAGTTTGACACTGTTCTTCACCTCCTCCTCTGTGACCTCCACTGCAGCGCAGTGATCCTCCTCTAGTGGGAGAGGGTTGGAGCCCCCTTCTGTCACCCAGGAATGAAGCTGAGGTGACGCATAACAAACACATTCACCATAAAAGCCTCAGACACATTTGTGGTAATTGTTATTTTATGAAACCACAAGTTCTGTGTAGAGGTTATGGTTACCTTAACTTCAGGGACGGTGATTCTTGTCTCCGGGTTTTTATCCAGCATTTGTCGAATCAGCTTTTTTAACTCATTACTAATTAAAGGCCTAAGAAATGAAGTGAAAAGTTTCATAGATTATTAGGGTGTCGAACACATGGATGTATTAATGACATGAATTGTGTGATTAATTGTGAGCCTATCCTTTATACACTGCCGACATCTCTAGGAGAGAATATTTTGTTTGTTTTACCTACAGTAAGTATTCAGTACTGTATTCAGTACTGTATTCAGTACTGTAAGGTTCTGCTGGTGCTGTAAGTGAGGTCACAGGAAGTGAGGAATCTCCAGCAGGTGGGAGTGGTGGGCACTTAGATGAGTGCGTACTGATGTTGATTGGAAGATTATATGGGTAGGTGGGCTGGTTGGAAGGAGGTTAACAGGTAGCGGTGGTTATACAGGAGGTAGGATGGTTAGCAGCTAAAGAGGTCGGCAGGTACAGTACCTGGGTAGGTAAGTAGGCAACCCAGTAAATATATTGGTTTATTTATAAGTTCTGTACTGTAGGTTAGACAGGTAGATTTACAATAGAAAGTGTTATTAGAGGATGGGATGAGAAGTTCGGCAGGGAAACTATGGTTTGAAGCCATCCGTCAAACAACTTTGTAAGTGAACGTATAAATCGCTGCTCTGTTGACTTGACTGTTTCTTACATGTCTGGAAACTCCACAGGTTTGTTCCGTATCTTGTTGTGCAGAGAAATAATATATTCATCGTAAAAGGGGCACTGAAAAACAGCAGGTGGCGACAATGAGCATGTTCTGACGAGATGAGAAGCAATGGAACGAAAGGATGAAAAGAAAAACAGGACAAACAACGGAACAACTGAACAACATGAACTTTCTTACCTTCCCCAAAACAAAGCAGTATAAGGTGACCCCCATGGCCCACACATCTAAGGCCTGAAAGACATGGAGCCAGTCAAAGGTCAAGCAGTGGATGACATATGAGGTCAGCTGACCAATTGGCAGAAAAATTGTTTAATAATCATTTATTCTATTGTTTTATTCTTAGTTATAATCTATCAGTGTCCCACCTTTCCACTAAAGCTCTGCTCGTGTTCCGTCATCATCTCAGGGGCCATGAAAGCCGGGGTCCCTGCTGTGCTGGACAGCAGTGCGTCCGTGCCTTCAAACTCATTGCTAACACCAAAGTCAGCAATCTTTAGGTGTCCATCGTCTCCCAGCAGGAGGTTAGAGGGTTTGATGTCCCTGTGAACGATCTTGTGGTAGTGCACTGCACAAAAGTGGTCAAGACAGTAAATGTTAACCTGGTCATTTGGGAGCTGCTGTGTGACACGATTTGTTGGAATAAATTGTCAAGATTACAAAAGCAGTTTGTGATTTATGAGTGAGGGAAGGTTTTAGAATTTTTTTTTTTTTTTAGAATTTTTTGAGCCTGCAGTTAAGCCTCAGTCTCAGATCACTAACTCATTAAAAAGTTCTGTGTTCCAATTCTTGGTACTCAGTCCCCAGAAACTAATTTAACAAAGTGTCTAAAGAATGTCTCTAAACTTACGGTACTCTATTCCCAGGACCAGGTCTCTGAAGTAGAAGCAAGCCTGCTCCTCAGAGAAAGGCTCATCTGTTGGCACCTCCATCACTGGGCTGCTCTCACAGAGAGAAATTGTCAATTATACACTCGTATATACATATATATGTGTGTGTATGTATATATTTAAATATATATGTATGTATATAATTAAATGTATGTAAGCACTGTTGCCTACCCCTTTGTCATCAGTTCGAAGGCTTGAGGACAAATCAGATAATTTGAATAATATTTAAAATATTATTATTATAAGCATTTAAAATTTAAAAACTTCTTAAATGAACCCAAACCAGTAAGAGGACCTTCTCACCCATATGGAGTCCATCCTCATCTGGATCATCAAGTACCTGGAAAGCACACACGTCTATAGTTTAGTCCAGAACATGTACTAATCTGAGTGACCAATTGCAGGTTAATTCATTATTTTTTATTTTAGCAAAAATGAAAACATAGCTTTAACAAAAACCCACATTAGTGATTTAGAGCTTTTGAACTATTTAGTTGGACCTGGTGCTGGTTACTGTTTAAAGCATTTATTACTACCGAGTTCACCTACCTACATGCAGTACAGTCAGCAGGGGGCAGCATTTAGATTTCAAAGATGGTCATCAATTTCACACATTTAAGTTAAACGTCAAGTGTACTGTGTACTGCACAAAGTCGACGGTAGAGTAGACTGGAGTTTGAAAGGTTTGGGCCCAGAATCACCAGACATGACCAGATCAAGATAAGAACCCAAATAACAACAAAAACCTGATGGGTTTCATTGTTTACATTTCATTGTTCCATCACTCACCTCCACCAGTCTCACAACATTGGGATGGTGCAGTTTCTTCAGGATGGCGATCTCCTTGTAAACTTTCTCCAGAGGCATCATGGCTTTAGGGAACAGGTCGTGCTGTGAGTTGGAGCCTTGTGGTGGAGGACGACCTGAATACACACATATACTTCAAACTCTACACTGACTGCCATCTGATTACATTACTTTATACATACATATATATGTATATATGTTACCTTGACTGAATTACAGACACCACAGTGATTTTAAGGTTACAAATTGACTTAGTACAATTACCACGGCCCTTATCAATGAGGTCTAGTGTTCTAAGGACCAGACCTCCCCAATTAGGAAAACTAACCAAAACAAATTAATCAAAAAAGCAAAAATAAGTAAATAAATAAAACCCCAAATAATACATGTTCATAGTAGGAGCATGGAAATATGAATGATTTTACATTGTATTAACAAGAAGTAAGTTTCACCCACGGAAAAATCCACACTGTTTCATCAGTCTCTTCTTTGAGACGACTTTCATTGCCTAAAAAAAAACCAAAGTGGAAATCGTTCAAATAAAAGGACACATCGATGACACTGTGGAAGTGGAGAAAGGTTCTGAAGCCTCATCTTACATAATACTGTTCTGAGTCTTCATCATAGGCCAACTTCACCACTCCATATGAACCCTGGGGATTAGAAACAGGTGAGAATATTAATGATAATAATAATTTAAAAGGCTAATAAAGGCAAATCAAATGAGTGAAAAAATTATATATGTTTCCCCGAAAGAAAGAACTATATGTTTATCCACCACAGATCTGAGAGTCTTGGTACCAGGACTGTTTGATCTTTTGAATAAGATTCTTTCCTATTCGTTATTATATACCAATTGAAAATGAATATATTCTCATACAAATAGGAGAACATGCCAACTCCTCACTGTTAGACAAGTATTGTGCTCAAGTTCTGCTCACTAACCCTCCTTCAGGTCAACCATGGAACTACATACATCCTGCACCGTCTGGTTTTCTGGAGCACAGAATAAAAGCAGTTTTATAATCACCTTTCCAATCTCATTCTTCAGCTTGTACTGGTTGAGCTGGACACAGTCCTGGGGCAAATTTGAAAAGAAGAAATGAATTAGTGTCATGCACGTGTGAGAGTAGTCCTGTGTCGGTGGGGAACTGCTCACATCGATGCCTGTGATCGACACACGCTTGGTCTCAATCGTGGGCTGCCGGGCCACACGGCTGCCCCTCTCCTGCAGGGACATCTTTCTGTCTGTGAGCCGAGGTCTTGGGCTCCTAGAGAGCGAGGGACCAGGCCAGGTGCCATTAGTTGGAGACAGACGGCTAGTGGCCATGTTCATGTCTGCCACCATATCCGCCAGCTCAGCGTGGTGCTCAGAGTCTGGCTCTGGCCTGCAGGCTGGGTCAGCACTCATGGTTCTTCTGGTGTGGAAGGACAGAAAAGGAGATCACACCCTGCGTCCTGCTACTACAGCACAGCAAACAGTCCACGAAACACAGCTGACACTGGGCAGGAATAGAAACGTTTTAACAAACTTAAAATGTCCTAGAAACATGGTAAAAATGGCAAATTTTGAAAGTACAAATTCCAAAAATAGACCGAGCATTTGTATTGTATAACCATGATATATTTGTGTTTATTTACACAAATAATTTCACTTTACACTCCTTAACAATAGCTATTTTAAAAAGTCCTAAAGCTAAGAAAAAACCTGCTCCTTTCAAACTAGATAAATGTGTTTTTTCGACAGTGTACGTGAGGCGTGATCAGTACTCACACAGAGGAGAATCCCTGCTGCTGCTCAGCTGCATGTTGTCCTGACGCTCCGAGGACAGAAATACTCCTGTGTCAGGGAACGACTTTCACTGATGAGAAGCTGAGCAGTGCAGCCTTCGTATTAGGGATTAACTGATGCCACATTTAGCCTGGGCTCATTTAACCTGCGTCTGAGGCGGCAGGTAACGACAGGCAGCGTGCGCTCTACAGTGACCTGAGACAAACAGAGTCAACGTCTTTTTGGGGCGTGAAAATTGTTAACAGCATTCTACAAACAGTTCATCCTCATGTCACTCAAACACCAACATGTTTTATTCCTTTCACTTGATTTTGACCTGATTACATGAATATAACCAATAAGTAACAATAAGCTTTCTGCAAAAATATTAACCTTGCAGCAAAGGTGAAAACATGGGTAATTTAGGAGAAGAAAAAAAAACTTTTTTTTTTCACTATGTTGGACTTGAATATGAAGGATACATTATACCTTACTGAGACCCTCTCCAGACCACAGCGGCGCCCTCATCTGAACAGTTTGTCTTTCTGTAAGTTAACTTAAAGGTCACAACAACACACCTGGTGACAGTGAGTGAGAAATACCTGTTCCCAGGTGGTTACGGGTGTGTCCACCGCAACACACCCAGACATTGTTATTATGTCATGGTATCATTATGTTTATGGTGTTCACACTAAAATGATAATGGGAAAGGACAAATAATCTGGACAAGTCAAGCAGGGTCGCTGGGTCACAGCACGGGTCAGAGGACAATGTTTCTGCTGTTTAGGGCCAATAGTAAAACGTTATAGTTTATGTTATAGCTACATATGCAGACGACTTTTAGCAGGATGAGCCAACAGTGGGTTTGATGCCGACTTGGCGAAAAGGACCAAATTGCAGAAGTGTTTTCAGCTCTGAATGCAAAGGGTCGACAACAGAGTATTAGCAGGATTAGCTAAAGTGGCTTTTGTTTCCCCAAGATACGTCACCAAATAAAGCATTGATCCTGTGGAACTCCCAGTATCTGCACAACGTAACATGTGGAATGGATGACAAAAAAATGGTGTAATTTTTTATTTTGTGTCTTCATAAGACTGAACAATAATCGTATAAATCATGGAGTGTAAAGAGAAAAAAAAAACAACCAACCAACCCAAAAAAGAAATACCCTTAAAATCCCTTAACAGTTTCTCCCGGGATTTTGTGCCTTTCACAGCATCATCCATTCCGCTTTTTAATTTTTTCATGAAATCTTTAGCGCCATGAAATCATAGACAATGATATGCAAATAGTAGTTTGTATTTTTTTTCACTTGTGACATTTACACGGTCGTATTTAACATTATTAAGTATATATATTTATGCTAGTTGCTACTTATCATATAAACTTGTTTTATTGAGGTTTGGGACATTTTATTTATTTCTTCCTTTTATTCAAAATATATTTTAGAAATGTTCTGTTGGTTTAATTTAGAAATCACATAGAATTCATCTGCAAACAATTAGTACCTAGCTGCTTTTTTGTAGAAAGAATTACAGCAGAGATTTGAGGTTGAGGTTTGAGGTAAATTGTAGGAAAGTGTCACAAAATATGAAGGTCTAATCTCGATGAAATAAATCTGTGCAAAATAATACGTGTTAAAAAACACATAAGAAATGTAGTGGTAAAACACATCGGTCTTAAGCACTTAATCTTCTTTAGGTGGCTAATTATTGAACTTAATTAAATGTATGCAGTGACTAAGTATCACCAACAACTTAGTTTCAATTTAATTTTTTTAGGCCTTAAATTTTACAGGAAAATATTATCCAAATTATTTCTGAGATGATGTCACTTATAAATGGCTGCCTTTGGTCCAAAACACGGACCATGTTCAAGCTGTAAACACTGACAACTGACTCTACAGGTTAAAGCTAAAGTCAGATGTTTTTAGCCTCCAGGCTGACAAAAAAGAAACAAACTAAAAAAACAACCCTAACATCTTACGAGTTAGTCAGTGAACATTTCCATCTGTCTATCTTTACAGTATGACCTGACTTTCGAGGAATTAGAACAGGTCCAGACTAGCAGCTGGCAGATCCTATCACTCCAGTAACATGTCTGCTGTCAGAGACCAGGACTAGGAGCAGATCTGCTGAACTCTCACCACTGCTCTCTTTATCTGCTCGTAGCTTACAAACATCACAATGTTCCAGGATCCCAGGCGTAGGTAGGAGGGCACAAAGCTGCAGGAAAACAAGACATATCAGTTCAACTTGGTTTCCAGTTTGACAACTTTTTTCTTTGACTATAATTGTTTGAGCTTCCTTTATGTTAGGCTTGTTGTTCAGCTTACTTCTGGCTAACTTAATTATCAGATATCTTAATTTGTGATTTGTTAGGAGGCTGATATCACTGTTTGACTAATTTGTTATTGTTGTTTGACAATGTTATTTTTTGGCTAGTATCATTTAGCTAGTATATGACTAAGTCACTATTCTGCAATAGATACAGTTAGCTATCCAACCGAACCAGTCCAGTCGCCCGTGAAGCTAACTGCTTCCTGCTTGGGATAAAATGACCTGGATGACTGAGAACATATACTGACATGTTACTACTCGGCTCATATCTGACTAAGTTATAGTAATATTTGGACATATACCCCTTATAGAATGCTGTGGGCCCTTCTTTGATGAGCATGGTGAAGGCACAGTTGATGGCTCCTTTGTACTGTCCAGGCGTTGAATTCATGTAGCGGGTCTTCACCACGTCCACTGGAGAAGCTACGATGGTCGTGCAGAAACCGGCTGCAAAGGCTGCCGTGAAGTGACACGGCATGTTGTCTGGAGAAAATGGCATTCATTAGCTGACTCTGGTCCGGGCTGTGTTCATTTTTCATACAATTAATTAAAAAACTGTAGGGCATTTCTGAAGGTGAAGATCAATATGTCATGAGATTAATATAATATATACCTGTCATTATGTCATGCTTCAGGATTAGTTCTTTGATGATGTCATACGTCACCAGCTCAGAGCAGTTGACAATGGCGTTACGAGTTATATTCGGTAAACAACCTGAAATGAAATACCAAGTATTAATAGAAGATTCCTGAACAAATGCTTAAAAAAACACCAGCTCAACATGAACAGAATCATATGGGATGGATTTGAGTTTTATTTTGTTTAGTTTTAATGACACTATAGTGAACTGTGCTGTTGCGTTTGAAAAGCTAACGCTATTTGTCAGGTGCAGGTTTCAAAAAGCTCAGACTCAGATTCTCATATTCTCTAATAATCACCTTTCCACAGCCCTCTGATGCCCTCGTCCCTGGCGATGCTCTTGTAGGCATCAATAGTGCCGGCGTATCTGGTTCCAGAACCACTTCCGGAGCTGCGGACCTGGGCCTGAAACCTCACCTTGACCACATCGGTGGGCTGAGCAAAGGATACGGCCATGGCCCCTGTGGTGCAGCCAGCCAACAGTCGAGTCCCGATTCCTACATCTGTCACACACAAAGAAAAAGTGTAAGAACATGATCACAATTAATGATGGGAGGACTGATTCTGTGATATTTGCAATTACACTCATGGAAAAAACACATTTTCATTTCCACATCTTTTAGGGTAACTTACTACATGCAGGCTTTTGTACTGCAGCACCCTTCGATAATAAAAAACTGAACTGATCCATTCATGTCATGTGACCACTGGCCAGAAGAGTGCAGTGACCTCACTGGACATCTTTGACCCTTAATAGCAGAAATGTAACTATTTGGGTTACATTGTGTGAAAATAAAATAATGTCATTTGTTATGACTAATGTTATGGGAATACATATTAAAGTTGTTAAATGGACAGTATTTGTCATGTATTTTATTGGATTAAAGAATCACACAAAGTAAAATATTGGTACTAAAATAACCAAAAAAATCTGAAATCCTTCTATGACTTTTTAAAACGTCTGTGGTCAAGGGTCGTGTATTCAACCAAGGCCTGTGATGTATGAATATTTTTAATATTAACTGAAAAATCAGTGGTGGCGTGGCTACAGATGAGTAGAGCAACTGGTTTCCCTTGTTTACTTCAGAGAAATGTAGGACAATCATAATCAACAACTGTCCTCCGCGGAAGGAATCTGCCCTGGAGCACCTCTCTACAAAACCAGTTTTTAGCACTCTCTCGGTACATGTCAGTGACTGTTAGTTATCTGGGTTGAATGACAGTCTGTGGTGAAGATCAAGAAGGACTCTCCAGACACCTTTTGGAGAAACCTATTAGAAAAGGCTACAACTGAGAAGAATTTAGTTTAAAAATACACACACCCCCCACACACACATCCCACCCACTGGCAGCCATATTTTCAGTGGGAGTGACCTACAGCAACTGTCACAGGTTGTTTACCAGACTCCACATGAACTTTGTGTCAATTCCAAACACAAACACACTGTGTTAAAATGTTTTAAATATTTTCAAAATTTAAAACTAAATTTGCTCTAAAGGTGGAGTTACGCCTACTTCAAATTTTAACACAAAACATGTTTTTTCCATCTGTATTTCCATATGCGCTGCCATTTGTGTTGTCTCTAGACAAACTTTCCTGAAACAGTTCTTATACAAATAACATGCAGAGACGTTGTCCTGACAGAGTTATGACGTACCTTTAGACCCCCCGCTGTAGAGCTCTTTGATGGTGTCATAAAGGCCAATGCGAACGGAGGCAAAACACATCTGTCTCTGCAGTCCGGCCACCAGTCCACTGTAGAGACTCCGAGGCCCCTCAGTTTTCACCATGGTGAAGATGGTGCCAAACACGCCTCTGTATCTGTGTCCTGCCACCAGAGGCTGAGATTCACCTTGAATCTACAATAAACATTTAAAACACACTGGTGATTTGGATTCAAAAGTCATTTATGGAGAAGGGAGAACCAGGGCTAATAATGTGAAATCATCCAAAATATAATATTTGTGTTTTTTTTGCCAAATCTTACAATAAATATAATATTTATGTTTTTTTTGCCAAATCTTACAATAAAAAAAACATGTATTTTACAAACTAACCCTAAGGGGCAGCAGACAGAAACTCTTCTTTACTTATTTAGATATTTTAACCTAACAGCCCATCATATTACTTATTATTTTTATTTCTCCTCTTGAACCCATGGGGTTCTCACCTGCAGCCGGACTTTGGCTGTGTCCAAGGGGAAAGTGACCAGATCAGCTACACACCCAGCTGTTCCAGCTGAGAAGATCTTGACAGCAGCAGATGGAGCCAGATCAGTACTCCCTGTCCCAACCATGATTACTAACTCAGCTGCTCCACAGAATCACCAAAGCCTTGAAAGAATAAGTGAAGAATCCTGATGGCAGCTGGAAGTCCCTCCCATCGACCGGGACAAAAATCAGACAGATTAGTAGCCACTAATTGGAGGCCTCATTAAAACCCCCTTGTTCCGCAGTATCACTATCTGCTGCATGGCTCAAGAATCTGCTAGCTGCTGCTACCAAAGGTCCAAGCCTCAAGTAAAACAGGACTGTGTTTTCAAAAAAATGTCTTCTTGTTGTGCCATCAACCATCAGACGGTCCAAGACTTGCATAGCACTGTGATGAAGAAACTACCAAATAGTCTGAGGAGCGCAGAAGACCAATGCGGTGCACAGGGAACCAGATGCCTGACTCTGTGTAGTGTGAACCAGACGCACTGAGCGGCTCCTCCTACAGCGACAACGCCTCCTCACCTAAACCAGCCACACCACTCTTTAATGAGCTGCTCCTGTTGCAGCAGCTATGAGGAATGTGAAGAAGCTAAAGGCCACGACTTCACTGTGAACAGAGACAACTGACACACCGCCAGCATTTAAAGGCTTGGAAGCGAATTAAATGACATGCCATTTTTAATGAACTTTTTTAGAGTCACTGTCCATTAAAGTGTGATATACACTTTGGCTTGACAGATAATAAGTGCCTTGTGTAAAACTTGCATTGTCTGTGTGTTCCTCTTTCATAACCGTCATATTTGGTGGGTCCTGAACATGATTTATAACTTACATAACTGCTTTCGTAATATCTGCAGGTTGGAACCCAGAGAGAGAGAAAAAATACACTCAAAGATGTAAACTGGGCTCCAAGGTCAGAGACCACATCTGCTGGGAGGCCATGAAGGCACAAGACGTTTAAAGGACATTAAAGGATATGGATGCAGAAAATTCTTAGTTCTCTGAATGCCTGGGTGACACGTGACCTTTGAATTATGAACCACTTAATGAAACGCAGACCTTAAAGGTGTAGGTACAAAGAGAAGGTTGAAAGGACAGGTTTGGTGGATTCTCTATGGGAGTCTTGGCTTTTTTCCACCTCCCGGGAGAGCAAAGCACAGGGCAGAGGTTAGGACAATGTTGACAATTGTCAGAGAAGATCTTCCCTGTTTGGATACCAGTCTCTCAGCTGACCAAATGTACTGGAGGATTCTTGTCTTCTCTCCTGATCAGGAAAGACTTCTTAAAGCCCTAAGTCAAATGAAGTCGCTACATTTAAAGCCCTAAGTCAAATGAAGTCGCTCCTCCAAAGCTGAAATACATTTTGATACTTATTTATATTTATGCATTTAGCAGACACTAAAATAAATTCTCATAAAAAGCCGTAAAAAGTTACCTATACTCAAAATGAGCCAAGCAGAAAATGTGGAGTCACCAGGCCTGTGTTGGACTGAAGTGTACAGTGTGTGTGTGTGTTCTGTTGTGTTCTGAACCAACAGAAGCAACAGCAGACGGTCATCACACACGGAGAAGCGTTGTTGAAAACAGATTAACTGCATGTTCAAATAAGGAAAGGAAAATATTTGATTAACAGAAGGAACTAGGACTAGTCTTAAAATAACAAGTCAAGCAGTTTATCAGTTAGTAAAGAGTGGAAAACTGACACACACCAACTGTGCTCAGGTAACACAGGAGAAATGTATTTCCAATGCTTAGGAAAAAAGCATTATATATTCCAAAATAAAAAAGCACAAATAAAACAAAAAACGGACTAGAAATTATTATCAGCTCCAGAAAACAGATAACTCTCTTGAGGCACTAGAAACTGCGGTGGAGAAAATGGTTAAAGCAGTGTAGTGTTGTTCCCCTGCTAATGTACTGTATATTTAAAGTGGCATGTGTTTCTCCTTAAAATGTGTCTGTTTTCCATCAAAGTAGGTGTTTTGTGTTTCCGCTAAAACTGGTTAGAACTGGATTCAACAAACAACCGCTGATTTGTATAAATGGCTGAATGAAGCTACAGTAACAGGTGAAATACATTTATTAGATATGAAGTATTAAGTTTTAGGTTGAGACAAAAAAATAACTATCATGCAAAACTAAAATACTGATAACTTGATTTGTTATTTAAAACTAATGAAGCCCACGGGAACAAAATACTGGGTTTGTGTAGTTGTGTTTACTCTGTACTTAAAGCAGTTATTAACTAATCCTAAACTTATCCTCACCTCCATTCACACCTGTCTTTATCGCAGCTTCTCGGAGCATCTGGAACGGTGGACACAGGTAGCACAAATGTTCTGAAATAGACACAAAAAAAGAAGCTAGTCCAAAGACTTGTGTTAGTTGAAAAACTGCAATACTGATAAAACATTACTCTTTCATGTACACGCAGCTTATGACAAACTTTAACACAATATTTTTAACATTGTGGTAACACCATATCCTGTAGAAGCACAGTATACAGCCTGTCTTATATTTAAGTTGAAATATATTCATTAACTTCTGCTTATTAATAATTTATTTTATAGCTTTTCTGTATTTTTATCTTTACATAATAGTGTTTTCCATTGTTTTCAAGTGTCCGTACACAAACTTTGATAACACATAAGTAAAATGTTCTGGAACATGTTCCTCTTCATATACGACGATGCTAGAATATTTTGACAGTAATTACCCAAATATTTTGTAATTCTACCCAGTTAGAAGCCTCTAGCGTGGGGTGTTTATGTGAAGACATATGGACGTTCAAAAACAACGAGTGGTTGATCCCTGTTTTGCCAGTGCATCAAAACTCGGTGTGTTATACAGTTCAGCCACAACCAGCATTACTAAATGGCCATGTCGCCATCTACTGGCAACAAATGAAAATGCAGTAAACCCAGAAAAGTCATTCTCATTTTTCTTTGTACCAGTTTCACAGGCTGGATAATTATAGGATTTGTGATTTTGTACACCTTAGGGCAGAGTCTACAAACACCAAACGGTTACACTTTGTTTGTTCAAGTCAGTGAACAGGTTTACACTTGATTTAATGTTGGGCTGTTATTGGCTTAATTAAGTACATAAATAAACTGAAGGTATAAATGCTTTTTGTGAATGGAGGTGAACAAAGAAGCTAATGTTCTATAATTTGTGGTTTTTCTGTAACATGTTAAAAATTCATAAATAAATACCTACTTTGATGAGTGGAGATTCTTTGTATCTGTGATCAGGTACAGTGTTGACTTTCAGATGTCTCCCATTATTCAAACCTAACCGTAGTTGGGAGGTTGGATTAGGAGAATCCCTCCACTGCTCTTCTAGCAGAAAATACATGTTTTGGCTAAAACAAATGTTTAAAAACTGAGAGGTTATGGGTAAAAACAATACACAGATATGATTTATTTATAAATAGTTCAGTTAAGTTATCTTCACATGATCATTCCACAGTCTGGAGGCACAGTAAAGTTAAAGAGAAACACTAAAGAGTCTCATCACAGGTGGCTGCAAATACACCTGTGATTCTTTCAGTGGCTTTCTCCATGGAGAGTGGTGACATGTTGGGTCGCTGTAGGCGAGGCCTCGTAGGACAATATCCCCGGGAGAAGGACGGAGCTAACTGTATGGCTCTCAATGATGCCTCCATTTCATGTGTGGTGAGAAAAAAGTTAGGCATATCCACAGGGACTGAGCTAAGAAGGAAAGTTAAGAGAAAACAGAGAACACACAGACACAGTACAATCTACTTCACCAAAATAATTTTTTTAAAACTTGACCAATTTTGTTTTCTGAACATTAACATTAAAATTATTGTAGTTATGCATTTTAAAAACATAAAATAACAGCCAAAAGCCTAAAGTTATGCTAATTGTACTGTAAAAATGGTGTTAAACATAACTTGGCTTTTAAAAACAGGATTTTAAAATATATGAAGTATATCTCACTGGCTGAGTTTATTGCAGTACTCATACTGTGGATACAGATCAAGGATACGACTGAGAGTTTTCTTTGTCATCAGCAGTGTCGATGTTGTGATCTAAGTCTGCAGATGAATCTTCATTAGGAGCAGAGTCTTGGTGAAGGCTACAAACTTCTCTTCTCACGTGTCTTTCATCATCCCCCTCCATCTGTGAAGTGTCTCTCACTGGCCTATGGTGTTTCTCAACAGAGTCCAGATTTTGCCTCTCCTCTTCCTTGTCCTCCTCCTCATCGTGACTCAGGTCTGGCTCCTCTGTTGCCTCCAGGTTCTCTATAAAATCAACATCAGACTCTGACTGGACGCTGGTCCAAGGGCTGGTTTTGTCTGTTAAAGACATAAGCTCATTCAGATGCCTAGGCTTCAACACAGTTTCCTCGTAATCTTCTTCTTCCTCTTCTTCCACATCGGTCCCCTCATGCTGTTCACAGGCTGATGAATCTTCATTCTCATCTGTGTTTTCTCCAATTTCATCCTCTGACATGACGGTTTCGCTCCGTCGTCTGCCTGTTTCTTCTTCCACCTCAGAGTCTGTGTCATCTTCAGATGTCTTTAGTAGAGGTGAACGCATTTGAGATGCATCTTTGTAGGAAGAAGCTGCATTTTGATCCAGACTAAACAGTCTTTGAGGAACTGTTTGAGAGTCTGTGTCTTTACAAGGAGAAGCTTTGGAACTCCTCGGAGGATTGGTGGGGATCTTGTTCAGTGGAAGTCCCTGTAAATCTGTGTAAAGAGGACAGAATTTCAGTAGAAATTGACGTGTCTTCCCAGTTTGTGATGCCTTTGACCAAAATATCAACTGAGACAATATCCAGCTATAGATCAGGCTTCCCAACTAAAACTGTGCTTTGAATATGATTTCAAGTTATATGAACAAGTTTTATGTCAAGTTATGACAATGACACAACACTGTTTTTCTCTGTAAACAGCAGAGACCATGAGGTTGGGGTTGAACGTCACATAACTCAGTTTCCATTAAAGTAGTAAGAATGCTGATGGAATAATGCAGCTGGGATTTGTTTCTATCGTCAAAACATTTTAACACATTAACTGAAGCCATGTTCATGAATAACATCTCATCAAGAAGCTGACCTGCATCAGTCTCCCCCTCCTCCTCCTGTTGGTTGTGATAGTACTGCTCACACACAGATGAAAATGTGGGAGTTCTGAGTTTGCGATTGAAATATTTCTGCATGTTGTCCAGCTCACTTTGATTCCTTCTGTGAGAAAGAAAACCAGCTTAATAAAATTCAGAAAAGAGAACTCCTACTGGCAGAGGTCTGTTTCACAGTTTTCTTACCTAAGTGTTGA